ACTGAGAATGTTCGTACGACTATTCATATGATGGTTTGTTCAAAAATCCCTTTGAAAATCTACTAGTTTATGGCCAGCTTTACTCAACAAGTATTTGGAGTTTCTAATTGGTCATTTTATGAGTTTCTTGCAGTTTCCTGAATTAAAAGGAACATCTATTAAAAATGATGCTACTTGATGCAACCAAAGCCCCATCTAGTGCTGAAGCTGCTATTGCCTGACTCATTTAGAACACACCGCTTCAGCAAGAGACATTGGGGTTGATTTATTAAAGGCAAATAGCCTCTAAGGCAGCGGTTCTCAACCTGGGGGTCGCGACCCCTTTGGGGGTCGAACGACCATTTTCCAGGGGTCGCCTAAGACCATCGGAAAACACATATTTCCGATGGTCTTAGGAACCGAGACACCGCTCCTGTCTCCGGCGATGTGTGGGCGGGATATGCTGCCCCTGTCACCGCCTCCTCGCCGCTGATTGGCCACCGGAACTGTAGCTCAGAGAGGCACACAGGCGGCCAATCACCGGCGAGGAGGTGGAGCTCGGAGAGGAGGAGCCGAGCGGCAGCGCGCGGAGATGAAAGAAGATCGAGGGAGCTGCAGGAGCGAGTGAAGAGAGAGGCCAGAGAAGGAAGACAGCTGACAGGTAAGTGCAAACTTTGCTGCTGCAGGCTGTAGATGGGAGAGGGAGAGAGCGAGCCCAGGCTGGAGCTGGAGTCAGCAAGGTAAGTATCATTGGTGTCAGTGGGAGGGATAGTGCCCCATCATTTGTGTCACTAATACCAACGATGGGGCACTATTCCTCCCCCCACTGACACCAACGATGGGGCACTATTCCTCCCCTCACTGACACCAACGATGGGCACTATTCCTCCCCCCACTGACACCAACGATGGGGCACTATTCCTCCCCCCACTGACACCAACGATGGGGCACTATTCCTCCCCCCACTGACACCAACGATCGGGCACTATTCCTCCCCCCACTGACACCAACGATGGGGCACTATTCCTCCCCTCACTGACACCAACGATGGGGCACTATTCCTCCCCCCACTGACACCAACGATGGGGCACTATTCCTCCCCTCACTGACACCAACGATGGGGCACTATTCCTCCCCTCACTGACACCAACGATGGGGCACTATTCCTCCCCCCACTGACACCAACGATGGGGCACTATTCCTCCCCCCACTGACACCAACGATGGGGCACTATTCCTCCCAATGACACCCACAATGGGGCACTATTCCTCCCCCTGGCACCCACAATGGGGCACTATTCCTCCCACTGACACCCACAATGGGGCACTATTCCTCCCACTGACACCAATGATGGGGCACTATTCCTCCCACTGACGCCAATGATTGGGCACTATTCCTCCCCCCACTGACACCAACAATGGGGCACTATTCCTCCCCCCACTGACACCAACGATGGGGCACTATTCCTCCCACTGACACCAACGATGGGGCACTATTCCTCCCAATGACACCCACGATGGGGCACTATTCCTCCCCCTGGCACCCACAATGGGGCACTATTCCTCCCACTGACCCCCACAATGGGGCACTATTCCTCCCACTGACACCAACGATGGGGCACTATTCCTCCCACTGATACCAATGATGGGGCACTATTCCTCCCACTGACACCAATGATGGGGCACTATTCCTCCCACTGACGCCAATGATTGTACACTATTCCTCCCACTGACACCAATGATGGAGCACTATTCCTCCCACTGATACCAATGATGGGGCACTATTCCTCCCACTGACACCAATGATGGGGCACTATTCCTCCCACTGATACCAATGATGGGGCACTATTCCTCCCACTGACACCAATGATGGGGCACTATTCCTCCCACTGATACCAATGATGGGGCACTATTCCCCCCACTGATACCAATGATGGGGCACTATTCCCCCCACTGATACCAATGATGGGGCACTATTCCTCCCACTGACACCAACGATGGGACACTATTCCCCCCACTGATACCAATGATGGGGCACTATTCCCCCCACTGATACCAATGATGGGGCACTATTCCTCCCACTGATACCAATGATGGGACGCTATTCCTCCCACTGACACCAATGATGGGGCGCTATTCCTCCCACTGACACCAACGATGGGACACTATTCATCCCACTGACATCAGTGATGGGGCGCTAGTCCTCCCACTGCAAAATTACGGTTATGAAGCAGCAACGAAAATAATTTTATGGTTGGGGGTCACCACAACGTGAGGAACTGTATTAAGGGGTCGCGGCATTAGAAAGGTTGAGAACCACTGCTCTAAGGGAATGTTCACTTTTTTTAAGCTCAGTAAATGTGTTGAAGATCTTCTGACTTCTATCGTCCAATAAATTTTTTTTATTTTCCTGGCACTCAATTGGGTATTTTGTAAAGTGAATTTTCACAGCTTTCAATAAGCTATAGGAAAATTCCCTTGCAAATGAGCAGCTTATTTGCCTTTAGTAAATCAACTCCATCGTAATATACCTATCCTTGAATTAGCATTTTTTCTGGAAGCCAAGCGATTGTATTCTCAGGCCCCGGACGGGAGCCTTGCCTGGTAACAACCACCTTGAGATGCTCTCTTTAATTTTCTGTTAAGGAAAAAATATTTCAATACAATTCAACCATATCTATCTGTCTGTCTGTCTATCTAGTGATGATGATCACTGATGATCAGTGTAGCCCCAGCAGTACCACCTGTCAGTGTCCATCAGTGCCAGCTGTCAGTGCTCATCAGTGCCACGTGCCAGTGCCCATCAGTGCCACATCAATGCCACATATTAGTGCCTACCAGTGCACATCAATGCCACATATCAGTGCCCATCTGAGCTGCCTTTCAGTGTCACCCATCAGTGCCATTCAGTGCCACCTATCAATGCCAATCAGTGCCACCTATCAGTGCTGCCAATCAGTGTCGCCTCTCAGTGTGCATCAGTGCCGCCTATCAGTGCTGCCCCGCCCATCAGTGTCAGTCGGTGCCGCCTAACAGTGCCAGTCAGTGCCACCTAACAGTGCCAGTCAGTTCCGCCTATCAGTGCCAGTCAGTGCCGCCTATCAGTGCCATATATCAGTGCTGCCTTTCAGTGCCCATCAGTGCCACCTACCAGTGCCTCCTCATCAGTGCCCATCAGTGCCACCTATCAGTGTCCATCAGTGCAGCCTATCAGTGCCCATCACTGCAGCCTCATTAACGCACATCAGTGAAGAAGAAAAATCACTTGCCCTGTAGGCTTGTGGTTAAAGTGGAACTAAACTCCCCAGTATACTCACTTCCACTTTCCTGGAATACAGTGGTTACATCCCTCTTCAGCCCCCTTCATCTTCTCCCTGGGAACCGGGTTTTCAGCCTCTCAATTGGCCAGCGGGGGATGTCCAGGGAGCCATTAATTCCGGTACAGCCAAAGTTTTCCAGGAATGCACGCTGAACTGCGAATGTGCAGCTCAGTGTCATTCAGTAGAAAACTGCGAGAAGGCAGGTAAGTTTGTCTGAAAGTTAGGTTTAGTTCCATTTTAACTGAAGAAGCTGTTCAGCAAAGGCATCAGTTAAAGGGTTGAGACAAATCATTTGACACTGACAGGGGCACTTACAGTGGTCTGCTTTTATTCATTTCTGTAAAATGTTTATCCCAAGGAAGGAAATATAAAACTATTTCTGTAACTGCTTAATAAATGTTAGCTGGAGTTTAATTTGTTAGTCGCTTATGTAAAGTCCATCTGGATCTACTAGTCCATCTAACACTACCCTCTCCACTGATTGACAATGGTGTTGTTCGATGGTGGCTAGGTTGCTCCTCCATAGATACAGTGGAGGAGTGAATGTAGCCACCCTATGACTGGTATTGTTACTTGCTTAGACTGCCACCTTAAGCTGTTACTGGCGGATAACCAGGTTAAAAAAAATAAATAAATAAAACCATGGAAAAAGAAGAAAACTAATATATCAACCACATTCAATGATTGGTAAGCTACAATATATTACATTTTTGTTTTTGAGTTTAGTTTGCTTTAACTTCAGAATTCCTTTAAATAAGGCCTGCCGTCTGGTAAGACGTTTTAGTTCCTATTTATGAAAATGTCTCCCAGAAGACAAATCAGTGTTAGTCAATGGTAAGAATATTTATTTTTATTTTCAAATATGCACTTCAAAAAGAACTGTTGGAGAGCTGGATTGTGGTCCTGTTGAAATTTTTTGGAATATAGTTGGTTGATGGGGCAACACAGAAGTTCTTTCAGATATTCTCAGAAATGAGACCATTAGCATCTCTGTTAGTAATTATAAAAGAATATCAGTTTATAAATATTTGAGATCTCTGGCACAGTGCTTGGTGTCCATTGTTGAGATTCTTTTGTGTCGTCTGTTTGCGTTCTTCTGAATACTGATTTGGGTCATTAAATGTCCTTCACTAGTGATAAATGTAAATGCGTTGCATTGGACACAGCTGTAGCCGAGCCTTAAGGGAACTTGTTGACTGCCCTATGATCATCATTGCTACAAACGACTTTATCTTCAGAGGGATTGAGACTTCTTTACCTCTGTGATCATCTCTTTCTTGATGCTCGCAGGAATAAAACATCATCTGCATAAATTCCAATGAGGGTCTTTGGTTCCTCTCCTAAAGCCTAGTACACATCATTAGAAAATCAGATGAAGATATCTGTATTCGGAACAATCGTTTGATTTCCTGTTAGCTAGTATACAGCTTTTGAGAGACCATGTGGACCTTTCAGATGAAAATTTCCAAAGGGATATGCTGGAAAAATTTTCTCGTTAGTTACTAGAACAAACGATTTACATTTAGTTAGTACAGTATTTGTCCTTAAAGAAACTGAATGAGCAAGACCACGTATGATTGTAACAGAGTACGACCCAGAAGAAGATGGCATTAAAAATTATTTTTGTAAACACAAAAGAATCTTTTTTTTAAGGAGCTATAAACTGAAAGTTCTTTTAAGTGAATAGCAATATAAAGTTTACCAGTATTGAGAATATTCTTGGGACAACAAATAAAGGGTTATGATTATTAGTGATTCTTCTTCTTATTATTATAAATAATATTATTAAAATATGATTATTATTTTATTTTTGTTATTAATAATAATAATAATAATAATAATAATAATAATAATAATAATATTATTAAGGATCACTAATAATCATAACCCTTTATTTGTTGTCCCAGAGATAATCTGAATACTATTGGGGCATTAGGTAAGTTCTAGAGGGGCTGCTGCGCACAGAAGGTTTTTTTTACCTTCATGCATAGAATGAGCCTTTACAACCTCTTTCAATAAAATCTACCGTATTTTCCGGCGTATAAGGCGACTGGGTGTATAAGACGACCCCCTAATTTTCCAGTTAAAACATAGGTTTTGGGTTATACTCGCAGTATAAGACTACCCCCCTTCCGAGGCAATAAAATTTAAAAACATCAGATTTTTTAATTGAAATGGTTATGACTTACCGGTACTTAAAATCCTTCAAAATCCTCATGTTCATCCTCTGACATCATAAGTTCATCAATGACATCTTGTGATACATTTGTAAGACAGTCATCATATGGATCAAATTCCAAATCAGATGGTTACCGCTGGATGTGTGGTAATACGGTAGCTTCGGCTACATACAGTATACAGTATATATACAGCCCGCTGGATGTGCAGTAATGTACATACAGTATACCGCGCTGAGCCAAGCTGGCTCTGTCAGCCCACTGGATGTGCGGTATATACAGTATACTGAGCCAAGCTGTTTCAAAACATACCGGTACATCCCTACGGTAATCAGACCGCTGAATGTGTGTATGTACAGTAGCTGAGGCTACATACAGTATACACTGGGCCAATCACAGCGAGCAATGTATTCTACTATTGAATACAAAGCCTGCTCAGATTGGCTGAGGTTGTGACATCATCCTTCCACCTCTCTGACTCAGCCAATCCAAGCAGGCTTTGTATTCATTAGTAGAATACATCGCTCGCTGTGATTGGCCCAATGTATACTGTATGTAGCTGCAGCTACAGTACATACACACATCCAGCGGGCTGATTACAGTAGGGACGTACCGGCACATCCAGCGGGCTGACAGATTAATCTGTCATATGGACATTTGTTTTGAGCCAGCTTGGCTCAGCACGGTATACTGTATGTACATTACTGCACATCCAGCCAGCTTGACCCAAACAAACTCAAGTTTCAATTATACCCCGCGTATAAGACGACCCCCAATTTTTGGGGTATATTTTTAAGTATAAAAAGTAGTCTTATACGCCAGAAAATACTGTAATTAGATAGAAATTTTGATCCTATAAAATACAAAAAGAGGAAATAAATCATGGGAACAATAATAATAATATTTAGTTATTAAAAATATGATTATTTTATTTTTGTTATTATTATTATTGTTATTATTATTGTTACCATGATTTATTTCCTTTTTTTTTTATTTTATAGGATCAAAATTTCTATCTAATTAGATTTTATTGAAAGAGGTTGTAAAAGGCTCATTCTGTGCATGAAGGTAAAAAACCTTCTGTGCGTAGCAGCCCCTGTAGAACTTACCTAATGCCCCATCTCGATCCAGTGATGTGCACAAGAGCCTTGGCTCCCCTGGGTCTGTCCCACCTCTTTGGATGAGATAGCAGCGGTATAGCCATTGGCTCCCACTACTGTCAATCACAGCCAGTGAGCCAATGAGGAGGGAGTGGGGGGGGGCCAGGCCGAGTCACGCTCTGTATGTGAATAGACACACAGAGCAGCGGCTCAGGAGCGAGCCTCTTTGGGTGCCCCCATTGCCAACTGCTTGCTATGGGGGCACTAGGCAGGAGGGAGGGGCCAGGGGCACCAGCGGAGGACCCAAGGAGTGGAGGATTGGGGCTGCTTTGTGCAAAACTATTGTACATGACATGTTTGTTATTTTTAAACTACAAAAATCAGCCTTTAATATCACTTTAAAGAGGGTTGAGACAAGCCATTTAAATCCCAACTCCAGGCAGCTAAAAAAGTATAATTTGCAGTGCAGCTGTGACTGCACTGCAAGGCTTATTTGCTTGTTTTTGTCTAGGGGAACAAAAAGATGATCTACTTACCCAGTCCTGCGCTCCTTCCCACAGCTAAACCGGTCCCCACTGCTTCTATTCCCCCGCTTCCCAGTGTCCTAGCTACGTTACCAAGACCAAAGCAGGTCCCCCCCACTGCTTCTATTCCCCCGCTTCCCAGTGTCCTAGGGTCCTGACGTTACCAAGACCAAAGCAGACCTATAGCCCTGTATTGGACATGATAGTGCCAAGGCAGTCAGTCGCCAGACTGTGAGGGAGTACAACCTCCTGGGGGAGCTGAGGTTTATGTAAGTACTGTAAAACTTTTTCTCCTGTACCCTAGACAATATAGGTTATTAACCCTTGCAGCGCAGGTATAACCCCACTGAAAGGAACAATTTTTAATTGTATTCTTTCTTTTATTTTCACTTGGTGACCTTGCCAGTAAGTCTGTTATTTTTTAGAAGAACAAGCTGTCCTGACGAGTTAGCAGTTAAAGGGATGAGACAAACCGTTTACCACTAACAATGATAAGCTTTCATTCATTTATTTATATAAAACCGTTATCCGAAGGGTAAAAAAGTTTGTTGTAACCACTTAAAAAGTGTTAGCTGGAGTTTGACTTCAATTTGTTAACCATTTGCCGACTGTCCCTTAGCAGATATATTGCTACAGGGCGGATGTGCTGTGCAAAATCATGTATATATATAAACGTGTTTCTACACTTCCTGGTCGCGAGCGCGCATGTGCCGCCAGCCCACCACTTCTGCTTTGATTTGTCACAGCAGAAGCAGATCAATGGGTGACAATGGATGAGTTTCGGAAAACACACTGATCATGTAGGAGACTGACAGAACACAGCTCATCAAGGCAGAACTGTGTCCTGTCAGCGGCAATGGGCTGGATTTTCTTTACCTGCAAAGCAGGGAATAGAATCCAGCACATTACCTAGTGAAAACAGCACACATAGTACCCAATACACTTAGAAATTCACTTAGAAATACACTAGAAATTCTTTGCTATAAGCAATCAAATTGTGTAAAAAAAAAAAAAAAATACTGATCACTTCCCCAAAGTAGTACAACGTTACTATGGTAACAGTGCAATTTGTAGAAAAATCTTAAAAAAAGAGAAAAAAGTTTATAAAAAATACAAACAAAATACAACAATAAAACAAATTGGAAAAAAAGGATCACCAGTCAGTGTCCCTGTTCACCGCCACACCAGTTATATGATGACGCTGTACTGCACTGGTGACAGCATGTAAAAAAAAAAAAAGAAAATAATTTTTTTCATTTCTTCATTTTCCCAAAAATTATGCCAAAAAAATTTGAACTTCAAAAAAACTCCCCATGTCTCTTATGAAGTACGTCGGACTGTCTACTTTGCAAAAAGTGGTCATTTGGGGGATATCTGTACTGTTCTGACATTTTTGGGCCTCAATAAATTAGATTGGCCGTCAGTACTTCAGGACTGATCAATTTTCAGATACAGTATATCCCATACTTTATGAACTGTATAACTTTCCTACAGACTAAATAATAAATACCGATTTGGGTTATTTTCACCAAAGATATGTAGCAGAATACATATTGGCCTTAATTTATGAAGAACAATTGTTTATTTGCAAACTTTTATAACAGAAACAAAGAAAAATGTGTTTTTTTTTCAAAATTTTCAGTCTTATTTTGTTAATTTAGCAAAAAAAAAAAACCCCAGTGGTGATTAAATACCACCAAAAGAAAGCTCTAGTTGTGTGAACAAAATGATAAAATTTTAGTTTGGGTACAGTGTTGTATGACCGTGCAATTGTCATTCAACAATGAGAATGCTGAAATCTGAACATTGGCCTGGGCAGGAAGGGGATAAAATTGCCAGGTGTTGAAGTGGTTAATATCGCTTTAAACCTCTTTTAGTAGACACAGCAGGTATTCACTGAGCAGTTATCAGCTCCTTAGCCACTTCAAGTCCGGACACTTTTACCCCCTTCCTGTCCAGGCCAATTTTCAGCTTTCAGTGCTATCACAGTTTGAATGAAAATTGCACAGTCATGCAACACTGTACCCATATGAATTTTTTAGCATTTTTTTGAGACAGGTAAACCTTTATTTTGGTGGTATTTATTCACCACTGGGATTTTTATTTTTTTTGCTATATAAATGAAAACATCCAAAAATTTTGAAAAAAAGTGTGTTTTTCTTATAAAATTTTGCAAATAAATAATCTTTCTTCATACATCTTGGCCAACATTTATTCCGTTATCTTTTTAGTAAAAAAAAAAAAAATCAAATTAGTTTCTAACCAAAAACTATAATTTTTCAAAAAGTTTTTACATTTTTTTTTATTTTTTTATATATTATTATTTTTGTTAACATACTGTCACCCTAGCAGTACAGTGTCCCCATAGTGGCACTGTACTATTTGTGGGGGGTGATGAAGATTGTTTTTTTTTTTTTTTTTTTACACTGCTTTTACACCCATAAAGGCTGTAAAAGCAATCATTTCTCCTTCTTTCTGACTGCATTCTTGCAGCCATTGAGAAATACTGTGAGAGCTGTGATTGGTCTGTGATCATTCACAGATTTCACACGTAGTAAGCAATGATGTCAGAAGTGACATCTTGCTTACTACTAGTCATCTGGTCACTGATTGGCCAATCAGTGATCACATGATCGGGACCTCACACAGAGGTCCCGTACAGAGGGCAGTGGATTGCGGTGCTGCGCGCTCCCAGAGAGTGCGCACAGCCAGAAAGAGCGGGCGCCGTTTATGAACAGCAACCCGCTCCTGCACTGCTCCTGTCCGGTCCATGTACATAAAGTGGTTACAATCAGTGATCACATGATCGGGACCTCACACAGAGGTCCCGTACAGCGGGCAGCAGATTGCGGTGCTGCGCGCTCCCAGAGAGTGCGCACAGCCAGAAAGAGCGGGCGCCGTTTATGAACAGCAACCCGCTCCTGCACTGCTCCTGTCC